TCATTAGAAGAACTTTTAAGTCTTGAATTTCAATGATGTTACAATTTTATATGAATAATAGTCTCATAAGAAGTATATTATGATTATTTTAATGTCTTCTTCCGATATTAAAAAACATCGTCTTCTCAGTCCAACATGTTTCCATTCATAAAAATTATTTTTAAACAATAAGAAGATATTTTTCTTTGTTTGAATCACACATAAAATGTATTGATGCAAGTAACTTATCTTTGTTTAAAGCTATGCAATTTTATTTTAAGATTTACATGTGAAAAATAAACTTACTTTCTAAAAAAGAATGCTTTTTTCTAGTGTAGCCACGGTTCAAGACAGCAAGACGACGGTGGCAGGACGATAAACCGCCAATCGCGCACGCGACGTAGTATAACGAATAATATAACGCCCCAATTGATTAATTAAAAATGGAGAATCGCGCGCGACGCCTCCTGATTCGATCACGTCCGCGTCAAGGACCGTTATGATCGCTTTGTCGTTGCGTACCTACGGGTGTATTGTTTTCAAAGTCACGTGTGCCCTTCGACGGGCGTACGAGCTCGAGACTACCGATTTGTTTACTTATTTCTCTAACGTATCCCGCTGTATCGTGACGATAATATCGTGCATTTTTATAGTACGACACTGTTTGTTGACATCTGACCTGTCTACATACGCCGTACCCGCGACAACAATTGCGCTCCCGAGGTGTTAACCGACGAGGTTCACACGTTAGGAGAGTCAATTGATGTCGCGAAAAAGATCGCGACGATGAGTGTAATGCCTCTTTTGGCGCAGGGGAAAAGATAGGAACGCGTCGAAAACACACAAGAGGTATTCCAAGCGAGAGCCCACCCCGCTGCACATCCCGCGAACGTTCGAGATAACGCTCGTATCTCTCTCTCGTAGGCGACGTGTACGGCCAGGCGTCGTTGTAAATCGTTCCGCGTGTGGCGACTGACGTCATCGGTAAACGCTTATGCCGGCGCGTTAATTGCCGCTAATAAAGAACGAGCCGTTGACCCATTAAGGAAAGCTCCGTCGAAAAAGTGTGTCTCGGTGATGTGGTGGCCGCGTCACATCGACTCACATCATCCCCTGTTGCGTTTTGAGAGAAGAGATCCCCGTGCCACCTCGACAATGCTGATCTCGACCGTCCTCCTCGCCTAACCGCGCATTAGACAGACGTTGAGTTATAATAATTTAACGGCGCGGGAGAGGCACCACGTGTTTTCATTTAAAACCGAGCTATCGTGGTTATCTCGCGCGCGGGCAAACATTTGCGCTCGTCGCCGTCTTGCGTCCTTGCGCATCCACCTTCCCGCGAGATCTCGCGCGTATTTCGCGGCTACGTGCACGCACGCGGGCATGGAAAAAAATATTTTCGACCAAGTGGAAAGAGCGGCGGAAGAGGCGATTGTGGAATTCCGTCGAGAAACAGACAGACGAGAGGCCCAAGGCCAAATCGTGTCGCTACCAACTGTATTTACACGATGATACGTTGTCAAAAGCAGGCGGCTCACGTAGTGTATCCTGAAGCCGTGGGGCCAAACTTGCCCTCGTTTGCGAAATTATTCGAAATGTCGTCGTTTTAAAATACGCGCGGATCTTGGGAAGATTGTTTCTACCTCTTTAGCCGTTCCAGATATATTCCCCCGGCAGCGGATAGCGGAATTTAGATTCGTGCCGGGTTTTGACGTTCAAGCTCGACCTAGAATGTACGACCTTTTTTTCTTCTTTGTAAGTTTTCAACAATTCAGCGTTGGCTCACCTGTACACGGGCAGGTGTCTACCGTTCACGCTACCGAGTGGAGTCACGCGAGAGCGGGTCCGCAAGGACGACACACCTGCGCTCTCGGTACTTTGGTCGACTCTCTAGTCGATTTCAATTGAGCGTCGATGCGTTCAATTCCTAAATTACTACGTCAAGTACATTGCCTTCAGTCAGGAAGAGCGTTCGGTTAAATCATGATATATTCAAAATAGCGTTTCTCGTCCGAATCGTAGTGTTGGGAATTAGTCAATTAACAATTATCTCTTTGACTGAAATAATAAGCAAAATTAATGATCGAGATTAAACAATCACAAGTGTAATCACAAATAATCCTGTTGATTTATAAAATTAATTATTAATCAAACTTTAAGGTGGCTGGTTGTACACTGAGTAATAATTAATTTTGCAAGTCGATTGAATTATTTGTGATTTTATACATGACGATTGATCAGTCCTGGTTATTAATTCGCCGATTATTTTAGTACAAAAGCATTCCAATCGATCAAAGTAAAACTATACGGAGGGAATTATAGCAAAATTTATTATGAGATTCTGTAACTGAGAAATACAGCGACATTCTGCAATAATTTACTGTCCTTTCATTTCATATCTACTATTTATATTTTAAGAACTAAAATGCATCATTGAAACGCCTATTATGTTTCTAGCAAAATCTGCTATGTTTCTAGAAATCTACTATGTTCCTTAATAACATAAACCTTACTAACAATCTATTTCTAGACTATTAAAAACAAAAAGTGAAATGAATTTATATGAAAAAAACTATATGATTCTCTCTTTATATAGCAAATCCTTAAAGTCATCTACTTAAAGTCTTACTGTTTTGGTCTTTAAATACGAATATTTAAATTCTAAATATATGCATATATAATATAATATCATATATTAAAATAAAACTTGCACAAACTTTATGTTTTCGTACATTTGCGCAAGTCTTGATAAATATTGCCGATAACTAATCGTGCAATAAAGCATAAAGATATTGTTTCATTTGACATAAATAAATAAATAAATAAATAAAAAAAAAATATATATATAAAATTTGTGACAATTGATTAATTTTAATGATTGATTTGCGGATTATTTTAGTCAATGAAAACTTCAATCGTTTAATGTCCAACACTGTGAGAACGTTGGTTACGTAATCATTAGCGCGTTCAAGTCGTAACGAACAGTCAAGATACGATTATGTGTGAATATAAGGACACAGACTGTATCATCGATTTAACGCGCAGCGTTACATTCCGATAAGTGTGCGTGTGTGCTGTTCATTATCGGTTATCTTATCAAACGCCCCAGTCTGGTATGCCGAGCACAAGAGAAACTACAAGTATCGATCCAACCGCGATTCTCAGGAGCGTTCGTTCGCGCATCTCGGAGTCGCGTGATGAGATCGAACTGCGCAATAAGCCGATGACCCACCAGATTTTGCAACGTTAACCTAACAAGACTCCGCTTACGTACATTCGCGACGGACGATATGTATCGCGATATGTACATTATATGCGCTCGGCATAGCAGCACCGACGGCTGACGATAAAGTTTCTGCTTCTTCCTCTTCTTCTCCTTCAGAGGTCTCGACCGAGCGATTCAACGAAACCCGGCATTTTAATCGTCGGCTTTAAATTACCGGCCGATGAAATCCGAGGAGGTGTAATTTAAGCAGATTGTGCGTGCACCGCGTGACTGTGTAGCGCCACGAGCTAGCCGTTTAATCGTTTGACCGCAGGGGAAAACCATTAAAATTTCACGGATAAAGGTAACCGTCCCTTTACGGTATCGCACTCCCCGCGAACAACTGAAGATGAGAAAAAATGTATCGTTCCACGAGTCCCCTTCAGTCGTTTTCTCCCTTGTAGTAGTCTCCTTTGTAGTCGCAATTTCGATCAGGGAAGTTGCCAATTTAACGATTTACCTAAGCCGCGGAAATTCGAACGGAATAAGCTTTGCACAATCCGGATAAGTCTGATTCCACGGCTCTTATTCGAAGTGTGTAATTATGCCGTGACAAATTGTTCCATTATCACTCTATCCTGTCTATCTTCCCGTCTGCATTTCTCTCTATGTGCGTTCTCGCCCGCGTGTGCAGCTCTGTGTAGAAATTGCAAGTGGAATATGTTACTTCCTCGTGGCCAAACGCGTTAGCAAAGTTCAACGGGACAGCCTAGCGTAATGCGCTTAATTAAAGTTGTTTCAACTCGTTAAGATCATTCGCATGAGATGAACAACCCTATAAACGGCAAGCGCAAGTACGGCGTCAACCGCGGTGACAGCGTGAGCGAAACTTTCCAATTTCTTTTCTATTCCGCGATTTCTTAATTATGAAAATAAAAGAGAACACACGCACACGTACATATACATACCAACGCCGATAAGAACAACGACAATAAAGAAAGAAAGAAAAAATAAGTGCAGTGGACCACTTGTTATCATTAGCCTGTGGTATATCGCGAGAAGGTCAAGAACCGCCGGCGTAGACCAAGATTACGACGGGGAGAAATAAGAAAAAAGATAGAAAAACCCTTGCTCGGCTTGGGAAGACCGGTTTTTCGTTCCCGCTTTCTTTTTGAGCAACCCTCTCTCCATTCTTATCCGCCAACGTGAAGCTACGCCGGTAGAGGAACTCATTTGGATCGATCTCTCGTGAAACGATAGCCGTAATGTCCGACGAGATCGTTCGTTCGTCTCGTAAACTATTCATAATAATAAGGGAAACTTTTCTCTTTGCTCCTCCTTAATGATATATACGTTCGAGCGAAATAATTCTAAAAAAATTTCAAAAGAGATTGATTTTATAGTATCAAAATAGATGTTAAACAGAACAGTGAGGCTGAAAGTAAGATCAAAATTTCAACTCGGACAGAGTAGAGAGAGAGAGAGAGAGAGACGTGGTGGGAAACGCGCGGAGATCGATCGGAGATCGGGATCGTTACGTTAATCGTTTCCTGCCGATTTCTCCGCTCCAGCCGCCAGCTTAGAGCGCGAATTTATTGCGAATGCTTTTGTTTTGCAGGCATGGCGAGCGTAGCGGCCGCCACCGCGGCCGGTCTCGAGGTACACGAAGCAGGTCGGGCGTTGCGCGTGCAAACGGAAGCGCCGCATCTCGTCTCCATGGGAAGCGGACGACTGTCGACGGCCGTGACTTTGCATCCTCTACCCGAAGGTTAGACTTTGCAAAGTGACCTACACCTTTCTCCCCCGACGACAATGGCGACGACGACAGACGGTTCTCTCCAGGACTCTCCGCGAAAGTCTCCATTCATTTTTATCCGTTGTTTATTGGATAGTGATAATAAACTACTCCGGATCTTCCAATGGGTTTTCCAGTGGAAAATACGAAATTGCTTTCTATGCAATTCCCATATCTGTTTGTGGGAATATGTCGCTGTGGTAAAAAGCAGAGGGCAGTATCTATCGAGATCGAATAATTTATTTATTTGTAGTTTCTAGTTTATTTTTGTACGTCGTATGCCTTTCCTATTGTTTTTTCGCGCGGATTGGCCGAAACTGTTTCGAGCCAGTAGCAACGAATAAGTTGTCGTCGCCACGTAACACCACCAGTGATTCATCCGATGCTTCAAACAATTCAAGACGTGTATAGCATCGCGCCAGTTGATAAAGCTTTACAACGTCATTGAGAAACTCGGAAAATAGTGGTGGGAGTTTATTACCGTCCGTATCAATTGGAAGATAACTCGGAAAACGAAAGAAAATACACGAGAAATATTTTTCATCTGCATTTTTATGAAAAATATGTTATCACGTTAGCGTTAAGACCAAGTTGAGTTATCATTAAATCAGGGAAGAATACTTCAAAGAAGAGAGAAGTTTCGCGTCGAAATGATCGTGTGAACTTTGTGTTTACGATCCGTTTCCGGTTTGTATCGACGAAAACTCGACAGAATCGAGTTTCGCGAAACAAAGAAGGACATCACATCCGGTCAGGTAGAAATATATACGCGATGGAAAATGCTGGGACCGTAATATCCGTGAGCAAGCGAGTGAGCGAGCGAGCGACTCTTTGGTCTCGGTTTAGCCTTTATGTACGCGCCATATATTCGAAGGGACTTGCAGAGCGCGTGTACACGCCATACAAACGTACCGGGTATATAAATGGCGTAAAGGCTGTTCTCCCAGCGAGCAGGGCCGTTTTAAGAAGCCCGCAGACCCTACATTTCCGTTCCGAGGGAACGAGCAACGAAACAATATCGCGGCTCGTAAAACGGCGAACGGATTAAACGAGCACGTATTTAACACCAAGACTGGGGCTGAATGATTGCCAGGCCGCGGAAATTGGAAGAGGAGATTGCGTGGTACAGTTGGTAAATCGATTCAGCCGTTTGATCCATGTAACACTCGCATTTACACGAAGATACGAAACGCGGAGGATCGGGACGATCAACAAAGAGTCGATTCTCCATTTATTTTGACGACCGAGTAACGCGATTTCTTAGGGAAATGGGTCTCATTGTCTGCAGATCTTTAAAAAATGTGAATCAATCGTCTATTGATTTCCAAAGAGTGTGTAAGTTTCTCGGGATTTCGAGCTTGTTTACGAAAGAACAGAATAATAAACACCAAGTAGGTAGAAAAAGATTAAAACGGTTAATGTAAATGAATTATCTATTGACCTGAGTCGAAACTTTAGTCCTACTTCAGACCTGAACTTTCTAACATCTGTATGTTCGGAAGAATCAGTATAATATATATGGAAACTACTTAGCGCTTTTATATTGCAGAAAACGCAATAAAATCCTACTTGAAAGAAAACTTTACGAAAAAGCTAGTAAATTAAATATAATCAAAAGAGATTGATATAAAAGACTTCAAAATAAGTGTTAAATGAAATATTGAAGTAGAATCAAGATTTTGTCTCGAAGGTTTTCAAGGAATGTAAGTTTCATAGGATTTCAAGTTTGTTTATGAAAGAACAGAATAATAAATCAAGTATGTAGGAAGAGACCAAGACGATAGACTCGAAGCGGATGTCGGTAAAATATTAATTATCGCGGCTTAATCGACGTGAAAAGCGGTCCATCGGTTAGTCGAGACATTTTCTTTTCATGAAATAAAGGAGACTGCCACACTTCGCGCACCTGTCCGTCTGTTTGCACACACGCCGAGTATATATCCTGTCTCTCCTTGAAATTTATGATCGCATCTGTTTTGAAATCATGAAGAACTTTCTCCCGCAGGACAATGCGCGATAGAAAAACTCGATCTTCGAGACCTCGCGTTCCTTACTATCGATTGTCGCGTGACTCAACTTGCTGTGGTGAGTAATACGTGTGTGTGTGTGTGTGTGTGTACGCGCGTGTGCGCACGCGTGTTTCCACGATAAAGTCATTAGCGTGATTTCGACTCGCGTTTTATGATTACCATTCGTTGCAATTTTTCATATACACACACATCAATTCGGTCATAGCTACGTCTAGAGAAACATATAAATGAAATCCTATGAAACTTACATTCCTTGAAAACCTTTGAGACAAAATCTTGATTCTACTTCAATATTTCATTTAACACTTATTTTGAAGTCTTTTATATCAACCTCTTTTGATTCTATTTGTATGTTTCTGATATAAATTTATTAGTTAATCCTTTATTATGTGTGTCATTCATGTGTGATATGTCTAGGAGTATTGAACCCCTCTGACTCATCTCGAAAACACGTCTGATTACGGGAAAAAGTTACCTGAGCTTAAATCGTCTGAGTTATGCGTCTAGGTACTACGTGTGTCGGATACTTATGTATTTCTAACCGGCCGACGCATTTCCAAAAAAAACCGAAAATGCAAGAGAGAGTGCACGACCGCGCTAAAACTAAATATAACTGGCAGTCCTTCGTAGAATGCACCACGATTTACCCGCGCCGCGCAGAACGGAGAGCACGCCTAGACTCCGAATTATTTTACGGAAAGCAGTGCGAGCCGTACAAGTTGATCGATCCTGCAGTCGGTCGTGCAGTGACGCCGTGGAAAATCGCGCTCGTTTCTCACACGTTTCACGGATATCGGTGGAAATATCGCGAGCCGTTAAAAATCCAACAGTTTCCAGCGAATACAATAACAGGGGTGCAAATAAATAGTCGAGTCTCAGTTTCTGTGATCGAATCAAAGTGCATCTCACTTCAACGATAATACACGTGGAGCGGATTCCCAGACTGTCCCAGATTCATATTCATAGAAAAGAAAAGAGAAAAAGGAAAATCGTGTTAGGGAAGGCGCGCGCACATGTTAAAGAAAATCGCATATATATATATATATATATATATATATATATATATATATATATATATACATAAAATCGTACACACATATATATACATAAAATCTTCTTGAAGAATGTAAATCGCGCGAGGATTATAGAAAAAATTTATGATATAATTAGCGTTGAACATAAGTTAAGATCTTCTTCGACTAAAATAATCTGCAAATCAACAATCAAAATTAATCAATACATAAAGTCATAAACTATTTCATCGAGCGATGAAATTAATTATTAGTCAAGTTTCGATGCGACTGAACGATTAATAATTAACTCGTCAATTAATTAAAAAATTATACATGTTATGCTAACTGATTAATTTTGATAACTTGTCGATTATTTTAGTTCAGAAAAATCGATTCAATGCCCAGCACTGGGCACTGCATATAATCCATCTAGTTCTTGAAGTTACGGATTTAGAACGATCTCTGGAAACAAGCTCTCCTCAACCATACTTCCGTATTCGCGCGGTGTACGCGTCTGAGGTCTCGTGTATCAGACGAAGAATACATCCGGCCATCATCGTCGCCTGGACCGGACGGGTCGTCGACATTTTCTCGGAAGGCCCAAATTAATATTGTGAAGCCGCGCGGGCCGCCCCATTCGTCGTCCCGATTTCGGAATCGGAGCTTCCGCGGACGAGGGAGTTCGATTATGCCGATATTTATACTCCGATACTCGTGGGAGCCGCTGCCAAAATAAACGTAACTCAGACGAGTTACGTGGGGAAGTGCGTTACTAAGGCCGAGAGAATTTCGATCGGAATGCATACTCGCCCGCCTGGTTTCCATTCAACCGCGAGGCAGACGCGCGGCTCCGATAGTCACGCTGCTCCGATCCTCTTCCTCGTTCCGCTTCTTTTCATCTCGCGCCTCACATACGAATAATAATAATAAGACCGTTTCGGAGAAGCGAGCAGCTCTGATCGCGGACAGGTGGAAGGCGAAGTCCTCTTTGATGCACGGCGATCGACAACTATTCTATTTATTATTTATTCATATATTCGTCCCCTCTCCCTTTCCACAAATAAATTTCTAATTTATCACAGCTTCTTTCGTTTCTCCCTCTCTCGCGTATCTAGGCAAAATCACCCTTGGATCAAGCCGAGATGCGGACATCTCGGTGGCCGGCACCGGCGTCGAGTCCGTCCATTGCGCGATCGAGAACAATAACGGCGTGGTCACTCTACATCCCATAAATGGAAACACGTTTGTCGACGGTGTGCCGATAAATTCGCCAGTGAGACTCGCACAAGGTAAGAGACCTTGGCCTAAATACGAATGACCGTCGCTGGTCATGCACGGCCGCCCTAAAAAGGCGGCAGGACGACGCAAAGGATGTTCTTGGTACTTGAGGATGTACTGCTAAAAAAAGAGAAAGAAAAGAAAGAATAGTTTCACTAAGAACGTGTAGAGAGAAATCTATCGGCGGCACGATGCGTGATAAGAATCGGAAGTGACACGTAGAATTGTTTGCCAGCTAGAACTGTCTGTTTTTCGACCATGTTTTTCAACCATGTTCAATAAATATGGAGAATTATTTACTTAGATCGAGCGAAACGAGCGTTTCTCTGTTTTCTATTAAAATTGAACTGTTCTAGGTTGCATGCTCTCGATAGGTCGCTCGAACTACATGCGTTTCAACCACCCGGCCGAGGCGAAGCACCTGCGATCCATCTTGCCCCACTCGAGGATCTCGATGGCGCCGATAAGTTTCTCCTCGCTGACCGATGGCCAGCCGCAAGAGAAGCTTCATTTGGAACGGAAGCCGCCTGTCGCGCCACGGAAATCCCCTAGGAACTCTTGTTCCGATGACGAAATCGGTTTCCTCGGCAAGCTGACGAAATTCGAGATGCTGTCGAAGCAGAACCGGGCCAACTGCGTCTCCCCGAAGGTCTTCCCGGTCGGCGCGCTCACGACCAACGTGCCGGCTGACCAGATCCTTGGCCACTCGAGATCGTCCAGTCTGGTATCCCTAGCGAGGTCGCCGGTGAACGGCTGCGACGTCACAAACAACAACGTCGGCGACAACGACAACTCTCTGGCGAGGAGCCTTCGTCGCGGCGACGAAGTTTCTCGCCAGAGGAGTCCGGACTCGCGTAGCACGCAATCGAACACCATCAACGCCCCACAATGTCAGAATCACAATCAGATTAGGATGTACTCGGCGGAGACTTATCTCAAGACATGCAGACCTTATTACCGCGAGTGCGGCGGTAATGGCAGGAACGCGCGATCGCCGTCTCTCGGAGGGGCCGCGATCCCAAAACTCGTGGCTGCGCGAAGCGACCTGATGTCTCGAAGTATGACCTGCCAGAGCTCCAACGAGCTGGAGCAACTGGCCGACCGCGACTACGACATGAGCCAAAGCCTGATCGTCACGAAGACGACCACCACGGAGTTCCTGCAGCTAGGCAAGTACGGATCCAACCCGAGCATCTGCGACTCCAACGTCGACGGAGACATGAACGCCGGGCTCTCTAGGTCGCCCACGGCTCGTGGCTTCGGCTCGAATCCGAACATCAAGAGGATTCAGCCACCGAGCCCGGCGTTCAATCGAAATCCGCGGTACAGCGAGCAGAAGAGAACTCACGCGAGGGTCAAGAGTCCCACTCCGAGCGTCGGTAGCGCTTGCTCCCTCGAGGAATCGCGGGAAAGGCAAGCCGACGCGGAGAACAAACGCAGGGAGGCGGAGACCAAGAGGAAACGGGCGCAGGAAGAGAGGTTGAGGGAGCAAGAGGTCGAGAGACAAGAGAAAATGCGACTGGAGGAGATTCTGGCGATGTGCGCCGAGTATGAGAGACAAAGCACTGTCGAGAAGCCACGACAGCCGAATCGGTAATTTCTCCAACTTCTCGTTTTCTCACATTTTATTTCATCTTCCTTCGCGGAAGATTCGCACGAATTTGTTAGCGGGTCGTCTGCTACACGCGTTCTCCCACGAAAAGATATGTCGGTCGTTACGACGAACAGATGAAATGTTTCCTTAGTACACGCGAAATACTCGGTAAAATAAAATTCACGTTTTTGCAGGATAATAACGAACGGATCTCTGCCGCGCGACAAGAGACTCGGCTATCAATCTCCCTTCGAGAGTCCGAAGAGTCCTTCCAAGAACCAGCCGCACTTCTCCTTCGACGCTTGGAAGCAGATCGGCACCTGCGGCGCGGCGTCGTACGAAAACGTGTCCGTCCAAAATTCCAAGCTCGTTTTCCAGAACGGCGATTCGTCCGGCAATCACAAGGACCAATTCGCCCAAGCCGACAGTCATTCGCGCGACGTTCCCGCGGGATTACCGTACGCGAACACCTTGAACGACAATCAGCCGACCAAGTATCTGAACGTTCGCGACGCAAGCGGCAACTACAATTTCTCAGGCGCGACTGATCAGACTCACGGCAGCAATTACGAAAACATTATAATCGGCAACCACGACAAGAAGCACGACGGGACAGGCAATTACATGCAGACTCACGACGATACCGGCGACTCGACGTACGGGACGATTCGATTGAACGGGACGGGAATCGAGCCGGCGCAGCGTGCGATGCAGAGCGCGAACGCGAATCTCTACGAGAACGTCGCGTTCTCGGCGACACGGAACAATGATCAGAATCGTTCTATGCCAAAGAAGCACGGCCAGTTGTCGAACTCGTGCGAAATGATCGAGAATAAGCTCACCATATCGAACGACGACCTGCTCGAGGCGATAGAGCAGCTGTCCATGCTCTCGAAATCCAAAGAGATCTGCGTGACGCCCAAGCGAAACAACAGCGAGAAGGATAACGCCAAGTCTAACGAGGCGAAGGCTGATAAGGAGAGGAAGCAGCTGGAGGAGGAAGATAGGAAGAAATATGTCGAATTCCTGCGCAATGAAAAACTGCACATTCTCGGCAACATGGACGCGCTAAAGAGGAGCGTCGCCGAGATTGAGGCTCAGGAGGAAGAAATTACTAGAGAGGTATTTTTCGTCTTCTTCTTCTGAATTCACAGTCGAACGAACGAACATCGACGATAATAATAATAATAATAACAATTGTGTCGTTGTTGTACACGTTACACGTATGTATATATGTCGCATATTAAACGAATTGTTTATTTTTTCTCTTTATCCCCTTTCGGGCACGGAATGCTAAGACGTCCGATTGTAAGTATATCGTTCTATTAGACAGTAAGACGTACCCTTGATATTCGAAGTAATCGGTGACGAACAATAGTCCCTCTTATCCATGTGTAGACCGTTCGCGAGCTAATATCTCAGTTTGACTCGAAATATTAGCAAACTCTTGAGAAACTCGCGAGAAACGACACCGGAGACTTGAAAAATTGATATGATAAGCTCGGTTGTTGTTCGACAGTTCGAGATGGAGAAGGCGCTGCTGTCCGCGGAATATGAATCGGAATCCTTGAAACTCGTCCAGGACGAGGGAGAGAAGATCAAGGTGCAAATGCGAATAAACGAGCTGGAGAGAGAAATGGCGGAGGATAACGCGATGCATTCGCATTTGCAAGCTGAAGCGAAGCAACGCGTTCAGAGAACGCATCAAGTCTGCGTCCGACTGGACGAGCAATTGATCAGTTGTGCGGACGAAATTACGCGGCAGGATATCGCCGATGAACTGACGGCGCAGCAAGATGCTCTTGAGAGCGAGAGGAAAGCTTTCGAGGACATGGAGTTTCATCACCTCGAGGAAGAGGCGAGCAAACTGGCCACGAGAGAAGAACTGCAGAGGTACGTGTAATCGTTCTCCCTGTGCGCGAGCTCTTCGTCAAGCTCTTCCACTGATCGTACATTTTCGCTCATGATGTTTTCGCAGATACTTGAGCGAGCTCACAAGCAAGATCGAGACGAGAAAATCGCAGCTGAACTACTTGGAGTCACAGCGGTGCGAGGCGAAGAACGCGGCAGCCAAAGACGCTAGGAGTCTTGAGAGGCAGAAATTGGGACATCTGAAGAGGCTGGAGGAGGTCGGTAACAAACGATACAGCCGTAAGAGAAGTTAATTCACTGGATATCTAATGTCAATTCTACGATAAGATAAGTCGCGGCGCATACGACTGTTCTCAACTTTCCTACACTGAGAAAAAAAGCGGTTGTATTGACAAAATCGGCGGTCACCGGCCATCAAAGAAATATCTGGATTAATTCAACAAAATATAATGTTAATGCAATAATAAGTTGCGTTGATATAATGATTTCAAATTATTATTGCGAATTATTATTGCATTAACATTATATTTGTTGAAACCGCTTTTTTCTCAGCGTACGATATAAAAATAATTGTATTACCACTGACCAATCTGTTGGATTATAATATTAATTAATTAATGTGATGTGTCGTTTTTTAATTAGTATTTAATTGTTGACAGGGACGAAATCGGGTACGAGAGATAAACGAAGAGCTTGACTGTCTGGCTCAAAATTTCGCCGAGCATTCTGAGGAGAAACGATCGCCGAGTAGAGAAGATTTCGACAGAATCTCCAGAGTGACCAACGACTCGCCGATCGTGAACAATCAGGGCAGTTTGGGAAGGAAGACGATCGAGTCGCTCAAAGAAATAGAAAGGAACCGGCAGCTTCATTTGGCCAAACAAGGCACGTATCTTTCCCAAGTGAATGAATCTCGCGCAGTGTCGGACGCTGATGGATTAAAATCTAAGCTGATTGAAATATAATCGACAATTCAATCACCAAAACCAATCAATCGCGACATATAAAATCATGAATAGTTTAATCGATTCATAAGATTAATGATTAATCGGACTTTGATTTGACTGATTAATTAATTGATTCTTACTACTAATTAAAAATCGATTTCGTCAATCGATTAAATTATTCCTGGCTACATATACGACGATTGATTTATTTTATGGCCAATTTATTCACTGTATGGCCGATTACTTTAGTCAAAGACAATGTCCATCGATCAATGGCCAACTCAATACTGATCTCGCGATACATGTAATGATTTCGAGGCAGTTGGAGTGACGAGTAAAAACAAACATTCCAACGCCTCTTTCTCTAGGGAGTCAAGTGATCTCGGAGGAAAGACGCAGAGTCGAGGAGTTGAAGAGACGCGTGCAGGACGAGGTCCGTTCGCAGTGGGAGGAGAGAAAAATGAACTGTGCGTCGTTCAACAGCGTCGAATCCGGCGAGGAGTCTTCCAGTTATTCGACTGGACCGACAGAAAGGTGAGTCGGATGGCGAAAATACCAGAGCTGCTCGGATCGACTTGTCTTATTATCGCGTGCGATGATGTTAAACGAGGGACTCAAATATAGAGAATAACGTCAGCACGCGACTCGAAGAATGTCCGTTTACAAACTCTCCTTCGCGGTAACAATGTCTAGAAATATACCCCGCGGACGCGCTTTACATTCACGCACGCGAACGTTCTCGGTCACGAGACCAAAGCATTCTCACTGCGTCATGCTGGAGATACGGACGTTCGCGTCACCAAGTGTATGGAATACGCGTCGCGTGCGTTATCGGCCGGTATCGCGATTAATCGCGACGGCCTTTCCGTCGTTCATTGGAGCTTATTACGAAACCTTCCTCATCGGCACGCCTCGAACGACGTGTGCACTGGCGTATGACGATCCGAGTGCACCCTACGTATCCCACGATTAGGAAACGTAAAGCCGTATAAGAGCTTAATAACCGATGACGCAATTAACCCTTAAGCACTGACACAGATTTACAAAAATATTTCGAAGTTTGATAATTACCTGAGAAAGTGTGCGAAACGTCTTTTCTTGTCGCCACTTCATATTTTACCAAAGAAAAGATGGACGCGATATACGCTTAAGCGGGAGTGAAACAGCAATAGATTTTTTTATTTCACATAGGGAGTCCATCAGACTTCTGTCAGTGCTTAAGGATTAAAGCATCCCAAGATATATTCGCCGATTAAACATACCTTCCCTACTCTTGTGTCTACTCTGAGCTTTGGTTAATTTTTCTGATCCCATCACGGAGGAAAGAAGACAGAATATAATAAATTAAAATAATTAAATAAATTTGGGCTAAACAACTCGAGGGACGTCCATCTCGCGAAATTTCAGGCGTATATAAATATCGACCTATATCGATGCGATATTCGCGATGTATTGCCGTTGATATCCTACTAACAACGACTAGTGATCGCGCGCACGTAAGGGTCGCATATCACGTCGGTCGGATCGACACTTGCCTCTAGTACTTGCTCTCTCTCTCTGTTTATCTCTCTCTTTTTCTCTCTCTCTTTTTCTCTCTCTCTCTCAAGGTAGGCGGGGCGTTATCGCGCGATACGATATCTGCCTGTAGCTCTATGTCTTGCCGCGCGGCTCTACTCGCGTCAACGCATCCTGCGTATTCGCGCGGAGTATTTGCGCGGAAAATCGAGGGAAAATGCGGAAACGCTCGGTGAAGATCGCGGCGTGAAACGCGATAAGTGCGAAGCGGTACGGCGAGAGCGGTGACGTGCGCTGACGACGAACGAAGGGGGATTAACATGTGTATTACGTGCCGAGCGCATCGAGTTGTCGACGACGCACGAGAATGGAGGCGAGAGAAGTGGGCGAGATAGTGCTGAATGAAGCCAGAGTCAGGGGGTGCAATCTAATCACCCTGCTCACTAGCAACCGCTGTTACCTCTGCACTAAAGACTGGATCCACGAGAACTGTTGCCATCCTCTGGGTAATCGTGCGCGCGAGCTTCGTCGACGTTACTTGTGAGTGTTGCCTCAACATGATCCCTCGCGTAAGAGTCCGCGTTCCCGCGGCGGGAACACGTCGTTGTTCCGAGGGGAATTTCAGATAATAGCGAGAAAAACGACTAATACACGAATGAATTCGTACGTCAAGAATTTCGGTCGATCCTTTTTAATGCTTCTCTTATTTTTCGCTAAGAACAAATTAAACGAGAAGCGATCAGGACGGAGTGTAGTAAAATAATTATGATGACACAGTGACACACGCATGTGCGCGTGCCTCGTGTTAGAATCGCAACAAGATAAATCCAACGACGCGGCACGTGTTGCAAAAAGTGGTGAGCAACGCTCACCTTCGACCTCCTCGCAATACGTCATGATATATCCGCACTTATGCGATGCAAGTTCGCGATGGACGGATAGAGCTACGTTCTAACACATTCTGCACTTGGTGCAAAAATCACTCATATCTAGAAACTGAAAAAAGACAAGCTATCGCCCTATGTTTTCGTGTTAAGAGATCCTCTCTATTTATATCTATTATCGGTATTTAAGTAATCAACATCCCTTTTCAATCTTCGGCGTTCGATAATTCAGCGAATCAATCATTGCTCAAATTTTTTCCGAGAAAAAGACAATTATAAATAAAAAAGAAAGATATCCTACAATCTCGCGTCAAGTTTTCCTGTTCGTATCCATTATGCCTACCTAATCGATCAGCACGCCTTTCAATATTCGATGTTTGATAATAACAGACAGACCATGGTTTAAGGTAAAAGTGCCTGGACACTAATAGTATTAGAAATTCTTATTGTTTTGATTTTTGACACAAATACTTAAGTTTTCAACGTAGAAAATATGTATATATAGTCAATACACATACTTGTATTTTTTATTGTATTTTGTATTGAAAGTTTAAATATTCTTACTTGACACGTTCACTACCACGGCTGATTTGGGGAATTCTCTTTACCAACTACATTACATTTGTTTCCATGTGATAATATAAAACAGATTTGATTTGTTTATATGTGAATATACAAAGAAAAATGTCATAGAAAAATATCGACATACATACGTGACGTTGATAGCGCGTAAGTGTTAGAAATCAAAACAATAAGAATGTTCATAGTTAGGTATCAATATAATTAATGTCCAGATATTGGTACTTTCACTTGAAATTTTTATCTTAAACTTTCATACAAAGAGAACAATTATAAATAAAAAAAAAACTCTAACCGTCTCGATGATGACAAACTATGCAATTTTAAAGTAATTGACGGCAGTGCAGTCATGCTGCAGTCTAAGGACAAAACTCGAGAACATTCTCCTGGGGAAGGAACGCGCGACGAACGCGACGAAAGACTTCGCCGGCTATAGAGCCGCCACTGGCCGAGGAGGTGCAAAGATAAATATTCTAGCGGCGTACTATCAAAGCTCGATTATATCGGAAATGGGGGAGGCGTTTCTAACAGCAAGGTCGAGGTTGGCATGGCAACGAGAGATCGGAATGTTCGGGTATCGTTCGCAGGCGCATTTAACATTGTAGAAGAATTAAACGCTATGCCGGTGGTATCGCCGAACCGGTCTACCTACCGAGTCACTTTGTACTTGTTAGGTTTTAATAATACCTGCCTTTCGCTACACTCGACCATAGGCCCCGTCGTCGTCCTCTCCTCAGTCGCGCGATGGTCAGGAGCTAGGACCGTGCTTCTCGAGCCGTCGCGAGTTTCATCCACCGAGGATGCCGAGGACGCCGCGTGGAATTCGCGAGATTCCGCGTTCGCGCTTCAGTCAATAACAACACTCGCTATCTCGCCATTGCATTCCCGTGCTCGTTACGCGATTGCGAGAGATGCAGTTCCCAAGCTGATCTTACGGTAATGATTTAGCGACGTCACGGGATAATTACGTAAGTCGAGAGCGACGCTGACGAAATATATTTTTGCCCGATGGACTTGTTAAATAATTCGCAAATCGGTCGAATTCAGTTTGATTGCGAGTCCCGTGATTCAATTCTGCTACAAGTGTCATCGTGCTCATGTGAGATATATATATATATATAATCGCGCGATTTGTTTAATATAACTTTCCTAATTTACTTATTTACATTTTCAGCGGTAGTGGAAGTAGCGACGGTGCGGAGGGCGGAAATAACGAAAAATTGTCGCCCAGCAAGCTTTCGGAGCTCACTTCGCCCAGTCCAGGACCGTCGAATAACTCTTACAGTTTGCTTCAAAATGATAATGTAAGTACATTTTATATTAACGTAAATTTCAGTCGACGCGTCCTCCTTCTCTATCAAATATTGTGAAAGTATCCCTAGAGTGAAGACGGAATTCGTTTCCAGAAGCAACGTGAATTCACGTGCATCAAATTTAAATATTTCAAATCGATATTAATAGCTATTATTTGAATCTTTTCTCATATAAGACACTCAGACTTTTATTCAGAATTAGATCCAAGTTTCTCAGTTAAATTGTAATAAACATAGTAATATTTATTAAATCTGTAAAATCGCAAGATTTAACTGAGAAGTTCCCATCTGATTCTGACTTCAGATCGGAGTATTTCTCATGTGAGGTGAGTTTGAAGTAATAACTTTTGATACTGGCCAAAAAGACGTATATATTAATTGCTTATGCAAATATTACTAAAAATGGTGGTCCGACACGTACGTTGCGACAGGCGTTGCCAAATTTGCAAGCGCAGCAAACGAGAGTCTATTATTTTACAGTCTATTTCTGCCCGTGTAGATTTTATCGCACACCTGTTCAAAGAAATGTTTTTTGACGGTCGTCGCGTCGCCTCTTAAATTTTTCAGCGTTCACGCACACGACGCTTCCCTTTCCCTCGGAAACGCGCTCGTACGTCGCGCGAATATTACGCGATATAACGATTTTATCGATCACGAGCGAACGATCGAAGTAGACGGGTCTTTTCAACGGGTATAGTTCGCAGAAAATGTGACATTCATACATCCGATTCACGCGGAATTCACTACGATTATTGGGTATGTGTTTCTCGAAGATTATACAATAAACCACGGGATATAAATGAGTAGTCTGTCTTCTCTTCTGTCTCCCTATTTTTTTGTTTTTTCTGCCTCCGATTCTCGCGCTGTTTCGTCTCACGATTGACAAAGCTGCGTGTTACGTTAAAAAAAAAGGCACCGCATTTATTTATTCCGGCGTAATTTTGAGAAAGTTTTTGTTAGAGCCAGACGCGAATAACAGCTACGTTACTTCTTCGAACGTTTATGAGTAAGTAGAACGATTCGCGGGAATCCTGAATCGAGCGAATCTGTAATTCATCTGAAACGGTTAGCGAACATTTAACAACTTTAGCGAAACGCCACATAAATTTTCTATTTAGGGGCGAATTTATTGCCCGTTGTCCCTGCTCTGAGCAAATGCGATGTATGTGTGAGGAGGGGATCTTTCTCTCTCTCTCTCTCTCTCTTTCTCTCTCTCACACTCTCTTCCTGTCTCTTTTGTATCGCATTGGTTTCCTCGTCAATGAAACAACTATTTTGGCACTTGAAAGAGGTCGTATCTCAAAGTATACATTTGGTTAGAGTGCACTACACCGAACACAACGCGTTCGCTCACGGCCGGAAGTTCGCGCCTCGCCTTGGCCCGCCGCGTCGTCCGCTCGTCGAAGAAGACGAGCACGTATTTCAACAGTCACATTTCGCAAGTTACCGTCCGTTTGCATTCTGGAGCAAGGGTTTTCGCCATTGCGCACGTGTTTTTCCCGGCGCAGCGTGCGTTTGGGGCCCCGCCACGCGAATGCGACGGTATTCTCAGAGAGCGGCCTGTACTTGCCGGTAAATGAGCTTTTGTAAAATCTTCATTAAGCTTGAAACGATAATTTATAACGACAGGAGCGACGACGTTGGAGATTTACGCGGGGTCTCTTTGGTAACTGACCTATTTCCCGCCGATATTTATACACGCGCGAAATGGACTTGCCGCGCAATCTTTTATTCTTCGTTCAAACGTTTGCTCGATTGACCGCTCGAATTTGTCACAACATCGGGGGAATGCGATACACGGGGCACGCATGGATTACGCGTTTAATACGCGCCAGCGCCTTGATATCCCCGAGAAAATATTCTCCTTACATTCCTACCACTTTACTCGGCCGGTTAGTTGAGTCGAGCCGAAGTGAAATGTCGACGGTAAATTAGTATTTGCGATGAGTCACACGACGTTGTTTGCCGAGCTGTCGGAATTTCTCATCTCGTCCACTCTCGACTCTCGACCACTCGACGGCTACTATTGCCAATAATAGCGGTTTTAAAACGCTCAAGACAAGTCGATCGTCCTCTGTCGCATGTTTTATCTCCCTATCGCGCGCTAAACGTCGCCATTCGATGTACAAATATAAATTTATGTTGCATTTGCGCCTCCCCTGTAGAGCACACAAACATAAGATATAATCGCGTCGTTGTCACGTCGTTACATGTGCACAGTGGATTTTATAGCGACGCGATTTTATGTCACGGGATATATATTTCGCCCGACGCGGTATTCGATGAATAAGTAGTCATAATTCGCTGCGCGGGGGCGAATTCGGCGCGCGAAAAGCGCATCCGCCAAGCAAGTGGGTGGGAGCCGCATTTTACAGCGGGAATTATATTCGCTGAAGACCGTGTCGCCGACGTCAGTTCTCGTCCGTCACCTGTTCGGATCTGCACGGATCTGTCTGAAGCGACGTAGCACCGGGAGACGTTTCCCGCAACATTACTAGCTAACTTCTCGATCGTATCGGAGCGCGATGTCGCTAATGTGGATGAACTACGTGAGAGGCAGAACGAAGAAACGACATGTCAGAAGGAGACGCGTAAGTGCGCGAGCGCGTATTGTTGGTGCGTGTTTATTGACAAATTTAATGATGATCTTACATAGGAAGGAAGAACGTTTGATCAAATCGCTCAAACGTGAAATATGAACGAACCAGAATTCCGGCTGAAGTTGTCAGAATTCTGTGTAACAAGATTCTGGTTAACCAAACAAGATTAAGGACCTGAGCACAAAGATTGTCGCAATCGTTTACGATAGTGTCGTTGACGTAAGTCGGTGTCGGAAGTCAACGCATAAGGATTGGCGTAGACGTATGCTGTATCAAATATGATTAGACGATACAATTGATGCAGCATACGTCTACGTCAATTCTTGTGCATTGACTTCCGACACCGACTTACGTCTACGACACTGTCGGAAACAATTGCGACAATCTTTGTGCTCAGGCCCTAACCAGAACTTGCGACTGTTTAAGTTGAATAGTTGCAAGTTTTCTGGTTAACCAGAATTTTGTTAACTTTTCTGATAACCGACTAATGGAGTCTCAGGGCTAAAAAACGCGTCGCGACATCAGTCTTTTCGACGTTGATGAAACTCGTCAGGTTGGACTAATGAGACTTTGCTATTTTCAGATGAGAGACGACAGGAGAACATCGATGGAAGGTGAGAGACTTAGCGACAATAGTGGCGGTGGCGGAAGAGGAGGAGGAGGAGGAGGAGGAGGAGGAGGAAGTGGAGGAGGAGGAGGTGGAGGTGGAGGAGGAGGAGGAGGCAGCGTCGGCAGCGGTGGCGGCGGCGGGATCAATGACGGAAACGAAAGTCGCCCGCTTTCTCAAACATCCAGCGAGATGGATACCCTTAGCCCACTGCAGCCCATCAAACATCGCGAAAAGGCAAAACTTCAGGTACGCGCGAAATCGCGCCTAAGAAAACGACATGCGCAACTAAGCAACGGGCGAAAAAGAGCAAGTCCTTCCACGAAGGGACGAAGAGGCAATGCCTGATCTCTAACAGAGCTCCCTCTACTATATTAGAACCTTAATTCTTCAGGAAAAAAGTTGTTGGACAAATTTTGATAAGTTTTGAATTTGAGTTTCTGGAATGTTGTTTAACTTCATCTTGAAAGAAACGCGATAAATTAAGTTTGGTCATGGTTAACGTGTACGAATCAACGTTTAACGAGCGACAAATTTTACAGAGGCCACTCACGAGATATCTGCCTATCAAGTCGGAGTCCCTGGACCTAAGGCATCACATAGAAACTGCCGGCCATCAGCTACCCCTAATCTATGATGTTACGATCGACACCACGAGTTGCAGTGGCTATTTGTCGAAGATGAGCAAGAAGTTTCATCATTGGAACAAGCGGTGGTTCGTCTTCGATCGCAAGCGGAAGACATTGTCTTACTATAGCGACAATACGTCCAGAAAAGCTCGCGGCGTGATCTACTTTCAGGTAAGCCTCATAAGATCCGCGATTCATTGAAGATCTCGATAATATCCACTAATCGACATTGACGCACTGCAGTCGATCGAGGAAGTCTACGTGGATCACATGAATACCGTCAGATCGCCGCAGCCTTCTCTCACTTTCATCGTCAAGACCTCCTTCAGACTCTATCATCTCATGGCACCCAGTCCGGAAGCTATGCGCGTCTGGGTCGACGTTGTGTTCACCGGCGCGGAAGGATATCACGAATTCGACCATGGCATTTGATAGAGGGCTCGGTTGTTAAACGCAACAACGTATTTGCGACACGCGTTATTTCGGTACGCCGGACCCAACGAGAGATAAGAGTACAAGCGATTTCCGATCTTTGAAATCTCGCGTAACTACACCGAGAACGATTGCAATTTTCGAAGCATCTGATATAAATCGGAAATGGCGACTGATTTTACGAATTTTAACTTTTTGCGTCGTAGCGCGCTTTGATGCAACGTGCATCATCAGATATAGCCCAGATTAGACCAGGAAAGGCTTAAATTTTTCTTGATGGTCGACAACAGATATTTTAACAGACCCGCGCATCCCCGTAATGGAAAACTTTCGGGCAAGGTTAATCTATTATACTAAAAAGCATTGTCCGTATTCGGTATCGATGAAAGACACGAGACACTCGTTTGCATTACGGTTTGTACGCATTTTCAAGAAGTTAGGAGCGCATCAAATGGTCAAACGATTGTAAGCTCACGGACTTGCATGGTAATCGGTACTTAACTTCGGGAAATTAATCAAGAACAAGTTCTCTCATTGGATTATGAACTGCGTTCCGAACTGCATCGAAAAGAGAAGCGTTCAAACCGTGTGGAAATCGAGTGCACATTAACTATACCGAAAAAGTAGAAGTAAGGAATGTATGAATCGGGCCGCTATAATAAACGAGGCAGTTGAGAGCAGATTAAAAATATAAGATGTCACAGCTATTTATATATAACAGCGAATTGAAATAAATATTTCAGTACGTATATCGAATGTTATAGATTATAGATTCGCATATTGAATGTTACAGATTGAAATATTCCAGCGTAATTATCGAGCTATGTATATTTTCATTTGCTCATTTACGAATTAAAATTAATTATCTCGTCCGCTCAACATTTTCAGTCAGTGTCTTAACGCGGTATCATTTTCTCGAAAACAACATATACGAGGAAGCTATCTAAAACACAAATAAATTGAGAGATACGACTTATCCCGCGACAGTAAATTTTTATCGTTGTTGAAATCTCGATAAGATCGATTTCACAGAAAATATTTTATCTGTACTTTCTAAAAATGCGGTGAATTCTAACAAAGAGAGAGAAAGAGAGAAAACGCAATATTTTAAAAATCATGTAGTGTCTTGACATTTGTGTATAAGTTAAAATAACGTTTGGCGTTAATCAATGTTTTTTCAATATTATTCGATTATTTTGTTTAATTTTATTTTTATATTACAATTGAAAATTATACATGTTTTATAAATTGGAAATCATATAGAGCGTATATTTAAAAAAAAAAGGAAAAATAATAAATAGAGAAATAGAGTGAAAAATGCCGAGTGGGATGGCTTCGAGAAAATTTTTAAACTTTATGTAAGAGAGGTATATTTTATATCTTTGATACACGCGCGCCCAAGGCATCAATCCGAAACAAAACAGCCTCCCATGTCATTTCGTGTATTGAACTATACGAATTACTCAAAAGAGTGGGCATTAACATAGTACATCATACGCAAGTATTATTCATTATATCCAAATCAATTATGTACGGACCTCTACCGATCTAATAAGTATAGATAGGAGTTATTAAGGTTTTTTATATTTTAATGGTTCTTATTGATAAATCAAAAACTTGGGAAAATAAGAGCCTATAGAACCACTGACATGGATAACGTAGTGTCATAAAACTAGCTAAAGTTAATATCTATCCTCAGTTATGTAGAGGTAAAAAAAAGTATATATTTAAATGATCAAACGTGTTTCGGTCCTTCGGTGGATGCGTTTTACTTCAGTGGACCCTCTTCAGTGGTAGTAATATAAAAAAAACCTCGATTACATATAAAAAGATATATATATATATATATATATATATATATATATATATATATATATATATATATATATA